ACTTAAAGGAGGGTGGAAAATGCAAACCTACTATGTGCCCCCCAAAAAGAAAGAAAACAACTGAAATCTCATGCACAGCTCCCACCATCTTCAACCCCTCTCTTTCCCCGCCCCATCTTTCACTTGGGTCTTTGCCATAGCTTCTTTACTGGACTTTCTGCTTCTGCCCTTGGCCCCCTTGGCTGATTCTCCACATAGCACCTTAGTGATTTTTTTTAACTGTGTCACCTCTCTTTTCAGACCCTTCCAATGTTTCCCATCTGAGGGAGGTAACAGAGTCCTTACCATGAGTCACGAGGCTATGTAAGCTGCCCGCCCTGTTCCCACTTCTCAAACCTAATCTCCTACAGCCTCCTCCTTTGATCCCTCTTCGGCCCCATTGGGCCCGGGGGCTTCTGGGATACCGACCAAGCTCATCCTTAAGACCTTCACACCTGCTTGTTCCTTGCACCTAAAATGCTCTCACCAGGTAACCGTGTGTCTTCTTCCTTCAGATCTCTGCTCAAATGTCTCCTATTCATAGAGGCCTTCCCAGATCACCCTTAAAATCACAACCACACACACAAACACACACACCAGCAACACTCCCCATGCCCCACCCCAACGCTGCTTTATTTCTCTTCAAAGAACTTGTCACTGCCTGGCATGCTATGTATTTGGTTTAATCTGCTTAATTAACATCTGTCTCCCCAACTAGAATATATGTTTTATGCAAGCAACAATTCTGTTTTATCACTGCTGCGTCTCTAGTGCCTGCAACATAAAACGTGTTGAACTTGAGGACGCGAGGCCCAAAGCTGGTTACCGCAGAGCTTGAAATAAACAATCACTCTCCAGACCTATCCACAGCTCTTCCCAATATACAACGAAGCATCTTGAAAAGCCACATTTGGACCCAAATTGCCCGGGGAAATGAAGAGCTGCTCGTTTACCTGAATCAGAAGCCAGACCAGGGCGTAGGAATCTCACTGCGCATGGAGAGCCCCTCCCCGTGGGAAGTGGGTGTGAGCGGAGGCTGGGGGAGGCCATTCTGCTCCACCATGTGTGGTGAGCCTTTTGTTTAGGGAGCCACGTGCGGACACCCAGGAAGGCAGACTCAACCAGCGGTGATAGAACATTCATGATTGGCTCCTAAGGGTCTACCAGACCTATTATTATTCACATAATGGAAATAAAAGGAGACTTAATACAAGAACCCATTAGGGCCAGAGTTCTTCCAGTGTCCTCATCCCTAGCACCTGCTCTGGTCCCAGCTCCAACCCCAGCCTTCCCTCTGGCCTCCTCCTTAGCCCCAGAAGCAGCATGTGGACCTCCTGCACCAGCACAGCCCGGCTCTCCTGGCTCCTTCTGCAGCACGGGGTCTGGCCAGGTCTCATCCCGGTGTCCTCCACCGCAGACAATGACAAGGAGCCACATTGTAGGGTCACAGCCAGATTCATCTGGCTGCTGCTGGGAACCGTGCACACATGCTCGTGTCGGACTCAGAAGTAAGTGCTTTGCAGTGCCACCCAGTTCATGCAAGGAGAGGACTTGGCTAAGAATGCGTACATGCTACCCAAGAACATATCCCCAGATGCACCCAACCTGGGCTGATGCAGCGCCTCACAGAATGCTCTGCACTGATCCGTGAGCCCTATGCTCCGTGAGGGGGTATGGGGGGGGACGGTGGGAGGGCTGGTAGGGCAGGGAGCCGCATCCTCATGCCCTCACTGTGGATTCAGCTCCAGAATGGCCCGGTGAGCATCAAGGCTACATCAGCACTTTCGCGGAGCCCCTGGGAAGGCCACGGGCTGATACTCAGGCTTTGGACTGTGGAATGTGTGTGTCCTAACACCCAGTGCATCCTAGTCAGCCTGCTCAGGGGTGACCCAGAGCATCCCGCTGGTAATCGCCCCTCTCCCCCCATCATTACTGATTCCCTCTCTCTCCTGCATGATTCCCATCAGAACAGAAACGTGCCAAAATTCCTCCTGCCTTGAAAACTCAACTGTCCACTGCTCCCTTGCAAAACTCTTCTAAAGATTCAAGCATGTTCACTGCCTCTGGTGCCCTCTGCCTTCTGGAATCCTCCCTATCCTCCCCACCCTCCCCCCAGCTGCTCTGGTCCAGGTCAGGGATGGCCTCCCTAGGCCAAATGCCATGATCAGCAGCCACACCTGCTTTTCTGCCTCAGCATCCAGATCGCTCGGTTTTAGAAATCCTCAAGATTTAGTTGGTAACATCTTTTTTTTTTTTTTAAGATTTTATTTATTTATTTGACAGACAGAGATCACAAGCAGGCAGAGAGGCAGGCAGAGAGAGAGAAGGGGAAGCAGGCTGCCTGCCAAGCAGAGCCCGATGCGGGGGCTCGATCCCAGGACCCTGAGATCATGACCTGGGCCGAAGGCAGAGGCTTTAACCCACTGAGCCACCCAGGTGCCCCTGTAACATCTCTTTTCCCTTATTTATATTCACATTTAAGGTGATCTTACCTAGTTCTGTGATTTTAATACACATATAAATTTAGGACTCCTTGATTTTTGTTTCCAACCTTAACACTCTGCTGAACTTCGGGCTCCCATACACAACGCTTCCGCATGCCTTCCTACCTCCCCCCTCCCACTCACCCCTCGCGCACTCCACTGGTCACACCGGCCCCTCTGTGGTTCCTCCGTAGCCCTTCCTCCACAGAGGCACGTGGCTCCCTTCTATTTGAAGCACTTTTTTTTCTTCTCTATGTAGAATAGCCACACTGCCCCCACACCATCATTCCATCTCCCCTAACCCTGCTGTATTTTTCTTCACAGCACTAACCACGTGTGACATCATAGATGTTAGGTGCTCGCTCTCTTGCTACAAAGATGGAAGGTAGGAGTCGATTTATTTTGTCCACCGTTGTCTCCTCAGCATCAAAACAATGGTCCTCATCATCGTTCAACCAGTATTGGATGAATCAGTGAATTAAGGCAAGGGAGAGGAGGGAACATCAGTGGGGGCAAGGTTGAGCCTCTGAGGTAACTGGCTGGTTGTGGAGTTCCAGGGGTCTAGGAGAAGGGTTGAGAGGTGGAAGGAATGAAGGGTTAGACCAGAGAAAGAACCCGCAAACCTGCTGGAGCTGCAGGAGAGGGAAAGCCTCCAAGGAGAGAACACTAGCAAGAGCTGTGACGGATGAAATCTGGGACATTCCGTGAGGGACACTTTCCCACTTACCCTAAGCAGAGAAGATGCTGGAGCTAATAGGTAGAAAATCTGGCCTGTCTGTGGTGGTCTCTGCCCAGCCGCAGTGAGCTTGTGCAGGGAAGGGCCTGGGGGCCTCTCCTTTAGCCTTTGGTAGCAGGGGTGTCATCCCTGATCTCACTCTGCCTGGTGAGGTGTTGCTAGTGAGAAAGAACACACAGCTCTTGACTGTCCCAGACTCTCTAATTAAAGCATCCCTTCCTGGTCTTCCACAAAGTATCCCTCATTCGACCTCCAGACAAGTCACGATTCAGCCCTGAGCCCTAAAGCAAGAAAATTTATCCCAGAGAACTGGAAGAAACGGTATTAGAAAGACAAAAGAAACAGTGTGAGCCAGAGAAAAATAAGCACTCCTCTGTTTCCATAAACACAAGAGAGCAAGAGAACCCAGAAAACTCTGTGTTAGCAACAGGTCAAACAGAGCTGACTTGGCCCTTGGAAGCAACACAGTGAGAGGCCCAGGGCCACGCGGATGCGAATTTCTCCAAGTGCATTTCTCCACAGCCAGCCTGCTCTCTGCTCCCACCACAGCCTTCAGGTGGGAAATTTAAAGTATTGACTTACAAGAAACTTAACTGACTTTTGATTTATTAAAGTGTTGATTTACAGTAAAGAACTGACTCTCAGACTGTCCAGGGTTGACCACTTGCCTTGGGAAGTCTGACTGTTTCTTTAAGACAACCATCTCTCTTCTGAGGCTACCTCTGCAGGGTGAGGATCTGCGGGATGGGGACCCAGGGGTACTGGGGTAATGGTGGAGCAAGGTGGAGATGGACAGAGCCCTGAATGCTCACACCAGACAAAGCCCTCTGCCAATCCTCCCTACAGCTCACTCATCCCTGCCTTCCTGACCATTCTCTGGAATGTTCAAGCCTTCTTAGCAATCTCTCCCTCCTCTTCCCTTTTCCTTCCCCTCCTCCTTTGAAATTATCGATAAGGAAACAAAGAAAGCACGCACTATTTTCAAATAATCTGCTTGTCGGGGGCCGGGGGGGGATCTAAATGAAAAATACCCATCCAGTGTCTGAGGCTGGAGCAGCCTCCAGTCTTTAAGGTGAATCGCAGACCCAGAGCGGGGTTTGGGGGCCAGGAGAACGAGGACCCAAACGCTGGGGAGGCCCTTGGGCCTTTGGGGGTGAAGGGTGTCGCCGTTCCCATACGTGACCACACGAGAGCGCCTCTGAGTCGGAGCTGCTGACAGCGCAGGGCTGGGCATTTGCCCAATGGGATGTAGGTGCTGCTTCCAGGGGCGCCAAAGCAGGGTCTGGACCAGCATCTGCTGCTGAGTGAGATGGGTACTTGCTCAGGGGCCCCGGCAGGATAGCAGGCACCAGTGCTTCTCCAACAGGTCACCTGAGCTTGGAAAGCTGGGGTCCCCTGTGTGCCCAGAACCGAAGGCCCTTTCTCAGGTGCTTGTGGGACTGTGTTGTCCCCAGGGACTGGGTAGGGGAAGGGCACCCCAATAATACCCGATATTGGCCATTTCATCCTCTCGGTGAGGGAGAGTTCAGAGCTAACTTCAGTGCTGTACCATTTCTTGCATTTGAGCATGGGGAAGCAAATTCATACTTGCTTCACGTATAATGTATATAAACTGGATAATACACATGCGCACACACGCCTCCCCACCCTCACCCCCACCCCTGCACTTCCACTCTCTGGAACATGGGAAAATGGACTGGGGGCAGCACCTGGGGCTTTGAGATGTATAGAAACTGGCCCAAGAGAGGGTCACTTGATTTTGCTGAAAGAAGGAGAAGATGGTTCTGTGGGACACCAAGGTGAGGAATCCCAAGGTGAGGGCATTCCGGGCATGGCTGAGTAGAACAGGAAAATAGCAGCTCAGATGACTACGAGTACATCTTCCCCAGTCCCCAGCGTCGGCAGACGGCCGCGGACCGTTCTGGCATTTCCTACTGTTTATTAAAAAGGAAAACATTTAATAAAACAGAGAGCACACATTTGTCCCTCAGCAGGCCCGAAGCCCTGGGCCTGCCAAGGGTATGGATACCTGTTTATTTCAGCATTCCAAGCAGCGTCCTTCATGTCTGCTCTCCCTGGAAATGGGCTCGCAGCCTGGAAAACAGAGAACATGACACAGAAAGCAATATGTTTATCACTAAGTAGAAGAAGGGGAAAGGCCACATCATCCCCTGATACTGCAGTAAGGAAGGCCTCATCCCCCACATGTGGGTGGGAGCATGCTTGCCCTGGAGGGCCCGGGTTTGTGAGGCTTCCAGCCACTCTGGCATCGGAGCCTGGCCCGTGGTGCCAGGGTTGTCAGCTAACCACGCCAACAGCAGATGGAGCTTACAAATAACAGCACATAAACGTTCGAGCTGGGCAGGAGCTTAAATCCCTTCATTTCACAGAGCAAGATGGCGGGCCAGGAAGGAGGAGTGAGTCATCCACCTGATCTGCAGTGGCAAATGTCACCTTCTGGCCAGAGCAGTGCCCTTATCCGCTGGGGAGGGGAGGGGTGTGTGTTAGACCTCTGACACCAATTTCAAGAACATTTGGAAACACAAACGAAAGCAACTGTTGTCCAAGAAGAAAATAAAGGTCACCTGGGCTTCCATTGTCAATAGGTCAGAAAAGCTGTAGAATATGTCCACTCTGGCTCAGTGTTTATCTTTTCATCTCTCTCTGTCCAGTTCTCTGTGTCCAACACCAGAGAAGACAAGACTTTTCAGACACATATAGAAGGGTTACAGCACTGCCCATGTAGTATGCCACAAAGGACGACTTAATAATTCTGAAGATTCATTATCAAACAGACCATATTCTCAGACCATCATCCCCAAAAAATCAGAAAAGAGTAACAGAGTGATACTGTCAAAAACATACTACTGGAAACTAATATTGAATTTTAAAAAGAGAAAAAAAAGAAAACTTTTGCCAAATTACTAATTACTTAGAATTCCAATGCAGTGTTTCAAAATGTGCAGGACTTAACATAGTAGATAGAGGGAAACATAATTTCAAAGACAAGCCAAACAACTCACTGAAAAAGTTGGAACAGGAGCAGCAAAGCAAGGTCAAGAAACAAGAAAGAAGGAAGAAACATACAAGGGCAAACATTAATGAAGCGGAGAAGAAAAAGAACAAAAATTAACAGAACTTATAAGCTAATTCTTTAAAAAAGATTAATGAAATAAAATTCTGCCAAGACTGATCAAGAAAAGGGATGAGAAAGAGAAATGATACATTGAAATATACAAATATACAATGAAGGGGGAGGACCAAGCACAGACACAACACAGTATGTAAGGACCCATTTGAAGTAGTCCTGCTAAAATAGCAAATGGGCAAGGTGCTGGGAGTCTCAGTCAGTTGAGAGCCTGACTCTTGATTTTGGCTCAGGTCATGATCCCAGGGTCATGAAATAGAGCCCCTCACTGGGCTCTGCATTCAGCAAGGAATCTACTTGAGAATCTCTTTCTCTCTCTCCCTCTACCCTTTCCCCCACTCAAGCTCTCTAATTAAATAACATCTTTTTTTAAAATATCAAATGTATATCTGATCAAGAGTGGAGACTACACAGAGGTACCTGGATAGCTCAGTTGGTTAACTGTTAACCAGTTAACAGTTAACTGTTAACCAGTTAGCTGGTTAACTCAGTGCCTGCCTTCGGCTCAGGTGATGATCCCCAGGGTCCTAGGGTCGAGCTCCGTCCGCATGGGGCTCCCTGTTCGGTGGGGAGTCTGTTCCTCCCTCTCCATTTGCTGGCCACTCTGCCTACTTGTGCTCTTTCTCTATCAAATAAGTAAATAAAAATCTTAAAAGAAAAAAAAAAACCCTACAGAATAAAGCCTACCATAATTAATAATGTTTCTCTACACCAGTTGTTCTCAACTAGGACTGATTATACCTCCCAGGTAAGGTTGATAAATTTAACAAAATTTAAAAGGACCATCCATTAAATCTGAATTTCAGATACGCACTAAATAATATGTGGTCAAACATGTCCCACGGAATATTGGGAATAAAATACTAGGTCAGTATTTTATGGGACAACCCCACCCCCGGAGTACATTTGGCAATGTCCGAAGCCATTTTGTCACAACTGGGTTAGGGGATGCTACTGGTGTCTGATGGTGTATAGGCCAGGGATGCTGCGAACATCCCACAGGGCACAGGACAGCCCTCACAACGAAAGATCAGTCAGCCCTAAATGTCAGTCGCATTGAGGCTGAAACACTCTGGGAAAACCAACCAGAAAATATAATAAAAATCAAGGACCCTGCACAGCAAGTATAAACTGTCTGGGGATTAATTTAACAAAAGAATTCACAAAATCTCTATAGAGTAAACTTTGAAACTCTGAGAAAAGGCAGAAAAGATTACATGAATACACAGAGACGTTCTAAGCTCTTGTGAACATGCAAAATGTCATTCTACTCCGAAAATCGCTACAGTCATTGTAACTCTAATCAAACTTGAAGCTGATTTTTCTTCAGAGATTTGGCAGACTTTTTCTAAAATTTACACGGAGTAATAATGGGCCTTGACTCAGTCGAGTCTGAAAAAGAAAAGAGGAGAGACTTGCTTTGCTAGACACTAAGGCACCCTAGAAAGTCGTGGTGTTAGAAAGTCAGTTACTGGCTCAAGAACAAACAAGGGAGATCAGGACAGAAAAAAGCAGAGCCAGACCCTGGCAAACTTCGTATGTTTCTGAAACGCTGCTACAAAACAATGGGGAAGGACAGACTAACTCACCCGTCCACATTAAAAAACCAAACCCATCTTCTCTCTCTGCCTGCCTCTCTGCCTAGTTGTGATTTCTCTCTGTCAAATAAATCAAATATTAAAAAAAAAAAAAAAAGAAAGAAAGAAAAAAAAAAAAAAGAAAGGGGCGCCTGGGTGGCTCAGTGGGTTAGGGCCTCTGGCTTCGGCTCAGGTCATGATCCCAGGGTCCTGGGATCGAGCCCGGCATCAGGCTCTCTGCTCCACGGGGAGCCTGCTTCCTCCTCTCTCTCTGCCTGCCTCTGCCTAGTTGTGATTTCTGTCAAATAAATAAAATATTTAAAAAAAAAAAAAAACCCAAACAAAACTGGACCTTACCCATTATATGGGAGGTGCACATGCACAGGGTTTACATTATCCCTTTTAAGTGAAAAGTTAACACTATTAAAAAAAAAAAAAAAAAGGTAACACTATACCTAACAGTAACAAGACAATGTCAGTGGGCTAAGGATGAGAAAGGTCAAGCCATGTGAGTGGATTTGCTTACAACAAAAGAAAGGACTCCTAGTCAAGAAAGGATGCCCGTGGCACGAATAACAGACTAGGAGAAGCTAGTCATACCTAAGGCAACAACAGACTGAGTCCTACATCCAACAAGGGACTCTGGTCAATCAGCAAGGAAAAAGAACCCTGGTTACAAAGTCAGCAAAGAATGTCAACGGGCAGTGAACTGAAGACCTTAAAAGCTAAGAAACATCCAAAGAGATGCTCACGCTTCTTGTAGAGAAATGTAAATTGGACCAACTATGCAATCTCACTTTACGCCCAGCACATTAATAAAAACTAGGAAGCTGGATAATGCCCAGGGGTGCCAGAGATTCGCCGTTGGCGCCTGGGAGCAGCCTTTCAGAAGAGCCTGGCAACAGGGGTCAGATGAAGGAAATGAACGATCTGTGATCCCGCTCTCCCGCTCCGCGTACAGGCCCTGAGAGATCATCCAAAGATGATTAAGGGGACACGTGCAAAGACACTTGCCGCACGGATGTTTGTTCAGCCAGAGCGGGGCCGAGCCACAACGTCAGTGCATCACTGGGAGCGTGGGTGGGAACATGGCGCATGCGCACATGGGAGGTTGCGCTGTAATGGGAAGGAATGGGTTAAAAGAACGCACAGCCGCAGCTGTGGGTCTTTAAAAGCGTGATGCTTAACTTGAGGGAAAAAAAAAAAAAAGACTTTCAGTCAGTAACATTTGTAAAAAAAAAAAAAAAAAAAGCATGCCCACAAAGCAATATATGCTTCAGACACACAAATAAGTTGCACATCACATCAACGCAGTAACATGATTGCTGATCTTGAGTGGAGAAGGGTAAAGAGAAAGGAGGATAAAGGAGAATAAGATAAAAAAGCAAGAAGGATCCTTGCAAGGATTAAAAAATAAATGCGCTGAACTGAGGAGCGTAATTCAGCTCTTGCAGCTGGGGCCTAAAGAAAACAAAGTAACAGAAAAAAAGGCGCAACGGGCTTGACAGAAACTGGAAAAGCTATTTCCCAGCTCCAAGGAACTTGGGTACAGACCATCCAATTGCGTGAAGGAAATGGTTTTCCTAGTGGTGAGGGGATCCCCCTCAACCCCCGACTCAGGAGGCGGCTTTGGGAGCTGGGCAGAGCCCAAGAAAGGGGAACCGGTGAGCGCAGGGGTGCAACGCGGAGGGTCTCCCATGGCGGTGCCCGAATCCCAGAGGGGTGGGGGGTCAGCTGAGGGGGTGCTGCGGCCATTACCACAGATGGAGGCCTTATTCGAGCCCGCTGTCCAGCGAGGCAGAGGGGACATTCAGGGAAACATGATAATCCTCACAGGCTATATAATCTCTTAACAAAACCAGGATGATAATGTGTTGTATAACATACTTTCAGCATGAAACAGCATGCTGTCCACACTCCCAAATTAAATGTTCTTCTAGAACACTGTCATGGTTTTAAGGGTCCATGCAAGTTACTTACTGCTCGCAGCCTGGGCTCACCTTCTCTGCTCTGCTCAGTCTCCCTTTACAGCTGGTTCCCTGCCAGGTTTGGCCAAGAGAGACACTGCAGAAAACTAGATGGGAGGGTTATTTCTAACCACCCTTTTCCCCTGCTCTGTGGTTCCACCCTCTCCCCAGCTTTTGGCCTTTGGCCCAGCCACTGGGATAGAAAGGCTGATTTTTCGGTGTTACTCTCTGGCTTCTCAGCTCTTTCATCACCCGTATAACCAAGCCCCTGCACTAAAATCTGAAATAACGGGCATGGATTATCTTCCTGACTGGACTCTGACACAGGATAGGCAGTCCCCCTGGATGGGGTGCTCTTTTTTGTTATTATAAAGCATGTAATAGTCAATACCCTCAAAGATGATTCTTGATCTCCATCTGTTTCCTCTGTACAAATTTCTAGAAAATTACACAAAACATGCCTTTGATGCACGTTGCCTCTTTTCCCCCCATCTAAATGGTTGTACCAGCTTGCACCCCAACAGTGTAGGAGATACTTCCATAATCTCATTGTCAAATGGGGCCATGACCATGGGGGTCAGTAGGGTCTCATGTGGAAGGGATTGCCCAGGTTTGTATTATGTTTATTGGAGAGAGGGGAAAGGCAAGGAGAGGACAGAGGTACATGCTCTTCAGATGTTCTAAGTAGCGGCTTTCCATCCTGAATTTGAGTCACATACCTACAGAGACCAGCCAGAGCCCCGGAGGCCTCTGCTAATGGCTCAGCCAAACTCCTTCATGGTAGTCTCCTGTGCCTGCCACACTTCTTCCTGATGCATGAAAGCTAGGGGCTCAAAAATGGCCTAGGAAAGGTCATCTATCTTCCAGTTCCACTGGAACTGAGTTTCTGGGAAGAGAAGTATCTGGGGTCAGGACAAGTCTCTGCCACATGCCTAT